AGCACACTGCGGTGGCACACGTAGCGAGCGCCACCACCCAGCCAGCACTGCGCGGCCACCCACGCAGCGCAGCCCTCGACGGCCGCTGGCCACTCACGTGATTTTTGCCGTCCTCGACGGTCGGGCTACCCGATCGTCGCATTATCCTTTCTTTTTAGTATTTCTTTTTTTTTCGAATATCGCTATTCATTCGTATTGATCGATTCTCTTAGCCAAGCTAATAAATTAATGACTTCTTCAGCAAAGTGCATACACACAATTCAGGACATTCGTTAACACTCTCAGTACACAACGATGGAACGAGAAAGTCATTTTCATGGAACAACCGATGAACTCAAGAGGTAAATGTTTTCTCAAATCCATAAATTACGAATATTATACCTTTACTTTCGACTGTTTCTATAGACCCCGCTCAAAACCAATGATGATCTCATACTCGAAACTTCTAGTATTTCGACTGTATTTTTCGCATTGTTATAATGTTTCGTAAATATCTAAGAGAATTGAGTGATGAGACAAAACACGGCCTCGGGCGGGAATCAAACCCTTGTTTCATCCATGCCGGGAACGCTTGTTCTACAACTACACCACCGGGTTCGATTCCGGCCTGAGGCCGTGTTTCTGTTCACCACTCAGTTCTCTTAGGTATTTACGAAACATCATAAGACTGCGGTAGATGCAGTAGAAATATTGGAATTTTGAGTATTAGTTCTTACAATGGTTGCCACCTCATGTGGGTTTATAGAGCGAAATCGCATACCCAACCCAACCTGTAAAAGTTGGTGACTGAAAGCTAACATAGATATGTTGGAGAATGAGTGGTGGAGCATTTGTGCCTCGATGGTGTAGTGGTAGAATACGCATCTCCGGTATGGATAAAACGCGGGTTCGATTCCCGCCTGAGGCCGTGTTTTTGCTCACCACTCAATTTTGTTAAATGATCTCACAATTTGATATGATGTTCTGAACCTTCTATGAGGTCTGGCATGGCATGTGTACAGTGGTAGACAGCTGGTTCGCTCTTCCAGGCCCTCTAATAGCACCATGCCCTTTGATCCGGCCGATCTCTGCAATGTCGGAGATTCCCACACTCGACATGCGATGATTCAAATATTTCACCGCGAATTTCTTCATATGTGCGGGTACATCCCCTTGCAGGAGGTCGGCGAAACCGAAATTCACCGTGCTAGTGACGAGCCTGGAAGAGCGAAACGGCTGTTTAGTGCTGTATAAGTGCGACACGTGACCTCTTGAAATTCTTAGAACATGTTATCATTTTATGAATAATATCTTTTACCACACAGATACGTTCAACCACCGATTTCCGACCCTCGTGAGATGAAATTTTCGGCAAGCACAGTAGGAGATGGTTCGCATAGCAGTTGGCAAACATCTAGTAATCATCCAGCAGTCGCAGGTACATCGAAGATAGCTGGAGGAACAATAATGATGCTCCCCAATGCAACACCATTCACATCATGTCTAGCACAACAAAATGTAGCTGACGAGAACCGAGCCACTATCCGTGAATTGGAGAGAATCTCTTCGTCGTTGAGTGAAAGAAGTCGATCCCAGCTCTCAGAACACAATAACAGTATAGGAAATGCTCAACAAAAATTACGATCCCTCTCCACAGCCAGTCAAAATCCTCAGAAAAGCATCGTCTGCCTGAGAGATGAGTATGGCCAGTTACGTCGAGCGAGAAGGTTGCCTGATGGGACACTACTTCTAAAGAAGCGGCCTCCTCGTGATCTTGCCTCTCTGTCGGGTTGGATTCCCAAAGAGACTAGACCAGATGCTGAAGTGCAAGGACATCAGTCCTCCAAAGCCGGCACTGTCTGGGATGCCCAGTCAATAGCTGGCATAGATGGAAAAGGAACTGAAAAGCTGGCATTTCAAAGGAAACGGTGCGAAGAGTTGCTGAGATCTCGGAAAGAATCCGTTCCGACTTGGCGCCACGACGAATTGCATCGTAGTCAAACTTTAGTGAGTTATTTACAGTTATGTTGTCTTCAAAAGTGTCAAACATTTCTTCAATTTTTTTCAGGGAAATTCTGATGATACAACGCAATTGGGTACGAGAAAAAGGAGAAAGGATGAGTTGAATCCCGACAGTGGCGATGAAATTGTTCTGGTACAGTTCTTAGTAGCAACTTAGTGTTATCTTAGTTTACTTCTCATACGCACAATGTCGAACAGAATTTCAATTTAATTAACCGCTTCTAGTTGCGTTATGTGGCACTGGAACTCGCATTCCGCCCAATCCGGGGGCCGTACTCGGGTCTTTGCACTATCGACTCCTGTTTTGACACCACTCTTGCCACGCTACAACACATCTATCTGTCAGCAACAGCCGTTTACGATAGCGACTACCCGTTCCATACCGTTGCTGGTGATAGCTAACAGATAGATGCGTTGTTCCGTAAACAGTGGTGTGAAGACAAGCGGCGGTAGTACAACGATTCGAGCACGCCCCCACGGATAGGGTGGAATATAGGTTCGAATCTCATTTGAAGCCAAGTTCTGTACATCTCTCTACATGATTGAGCATTGTTATCATTTTCTAGATGACAAGTGAAAAGCCAAAAAAAGCACAATAGGAGCCGTTTTCGACCACTTTCCATAGTAACTTTGTGTTATCGCTGAACATTCTTTTGCAAAGGTCTTTTTGCTACAGACAATGCTCTTTCACTAGCATTTCGGAAGTTAGTAGAAAGCTAATTAGGACATTTTAACAATTTACTTGTTTTTCTAAAAAATTTTCTCACACTATAGCAGTAAAAATGAAATTGAGTTTCACACTTGGCGCTCGCTATAACCGCATATTTTCGCTTTTTAACTGAACTTTTTCCTCTGATTCGTAGCAATCTTTAGGTTTTTCGTATTAAAATTATAGACACTTTACTCCATCGTGCTGTTATGGGCTTAGGCTTTTTATTTTCACTTCACGTTGTCAGGTGGACGCTTTACCAAGTCTGAGACTGGGCAGCCTGAACCTACGTGCGAAAAGTATAAGAAATGGGAAAAAAACATTAACTGAGTAAAAAGAAATTGTACGCCGCTTGTGGTTCACGCTGCGAGATCGATCAAGCCGTTCCAAAAGCTGACGGCCCCGATTGTGAGACGTAATCTTCTTTCGGCTCTTACATCGCTCTACAAAGACTTCTAGAACAGCGAAGTCATCGCTCAAGACTCACCAGGATTTATGCTATCGTATGAATATTCAAATTTTGATGAAAAGCCATCTACAATCCTTGGCCGTCCGAACAAAGCACTACGAGTGCGAAACTCAACTTTGCTTTTTACTGCTACAGCGCTCTTGGAAGATTGGTACTTATGTGTTAGGCGGCGACAAATATTTACGCCGATCTCGTTCGCTAGACGGGAAATTTTCATAGGGTTAGTTATAGTCAGAAAGCTTAAATCTCTGGCTGCAAACCTTCTTTGCAGGCTTTGCAGAATACCCTTTCATAACCCTGCAGCATCCAAAATAAGAATTTGTTTTACACACACCCTTTGCCACCATTTTCATCACGCGTATAAATCGGTTCAAGCACGAAAGCATATCAGCTCGTAGAGTATTTTACGTGCAGTCAGCATCACGCGTTTTTACTTAAAGTCGCTGGTCGATGCGGTGAAAATTCCTCAGTAAGATAACAAAAGTTGCCGTCATTTTAGCGCAGAGTGCGGTAGATCACTATCGAGCCACGAGATAGATCAAGCGATTAGCTTATTAAAAGTCGTCGCTGTTGCTTTCCTTTACAATTGAATTGGCTATAAACCTTTTTAATTTGCCACAAACTGAAGAATAAGCATATGTAGCGTTAGAGTTTGGCAAGAATGATTTTTAGGCTTTCAGCCTCATAGTGTCAATGTAATCATTGTTTATGATTAGGTGATGGTGCAATGAAATCAGTTATGGAAGTAGTTAGAGCCTTCTGACGTGATAGTCGTCGAAGTGATCATAGTGTTGATTGATTTATTTGAGCCTATCCATAGCGCAATAGTAAATATTCCAACGTTTTGTTCTTTTTTGTGGAAATACCGTTTAGCAGGGAAACTCAATGGAGTTTTACCTTTTTGACGACTTTGTTTACCGCCCAACTCACGGAGCGGGAGGCGGGGGAGGGGGAGCGGGGCAGTGGGCGCGGCAGTCGATCGTGCTCAATATACGGTGATTCAATTGAGGATTTCTCTACCGCTCGAATAGAAACTTCAGACAAAAACGTATGATTTTGATACTATGAAACTTGCTTTACACGCCGGTATGCTTTTCATGCTTCCACCGAAATATACGCGTGTATAAATGAAGGCGTACGGCTGGTATAAAACATAATTATTCCTATATCGTTATTACGGGTGATTTGTATAACCGGCGATGTGGGGCTGCAGCCTTAAGTCCAAGCCTTCGATTGGTTAGCAGCAGCCCTGTGAAAGTTCCTGTCAAGCGAATGAGGTCGGCTTGTCAGTTGTCCTTTTATAACTGAAAAGAACCTAATTCTTTTAACGTAACCGCTTTCAGCATTATTATGACGTCATGAATATACCCACTCATGTCGAGTGATCTGCAAAACTTTCGTGTCAGCTAGGACTCGAACCCGCATTTCACCTTCAGGTGGCGCGTGCTCGAACCGCTGCATTATCGACGCCTGTTCTGACACCACTCTTTCCACGCTACAACGTATCTATCTGCCAGCAAACAACCGTCAATGGTATGGCACGGGTAGTCGCTATCCTTGACGGTTGGTTGCTGACAGATAGATATATTGTAGCGTAGAAAGAGTGCTGTCAAGATAGGCAGCGGTTCGAGCACACTCCACAGGATAGAGTTTAATGTGGGATCGCGTCCCACCTGACGTAAATGTTTTGCACGTCATTCTAAATCACTGAATAAGAATTTATTTGGTGATTCATATGTCTCTTTGGCAGGTACAGGTTTGGGACTGGCGTTAATTTTGGTGGAACCCAATGCTTGGCGGAGTGTTGTATTAGCATTAAATTCTATTACTATAGTATTCTGGGTTAATAACGACTTCCATATTACTTGTAGTTAATGAGAATCTGTTTTAAAGAAGTTAATGTTGATCAAAATTGGATGTATGTTTGATCGGCAGGGGCCAGCTCATCACAGTCCCGTAGGACTGCAAGAACATCAGGACGGTGAAACCGTCTTGGATGTTCTAGCAGTTGGCGAAATTGTTTAGGACGCAATTAAGGAGCCCATTGCTTCTTTAACGCTCTCGGAATCAACGGGAGCAAAAGGACAGCAAATGATACAGGTGCGTAAGGCAAGTTCTGATTTCTATATTAAAAATGCCACGTCACGTGATTTTAGCCGTATCTTTTTTTCTAGAAACGTGGGCGCCCCGTCAAGAAGTACCGTGGAAGAATGGCCAGGGAGAAGCAGGCGATCCGAGACGCCGAAAGAGCTGAAAAAGTCGCAATTAAAGAAAAGAAGCTACCAGTCCTTGAGCTTGCTTTGAAGGTTATTGAGGACCCTACAGTTGAAGTCTCTGTAGAGGCTCCGGTAGTAGGTTTTATCTTTTCTGCTTTGGACAGAAAGGTAATCTTTGGTTGTTACTGACTTATATTTCATACAATTTCTAGTTGATTGGCTCGTCAGTTATCAGAGACACGGCTGTACTCCATGAAGTGGGCGATGTGCTGAAAGAACTGGTGGCACAAATCGCTGTCAAAGAGTTACAGCCGAAAAGCTCACGCTCACGGCGATGCTGGGAACATTTACCCGTACGAGTTCCTTCCAAAAGGCAGGAGTATCGGAAACTAAACGTTCCTGTCGAACAACGTGTTAGTTGATTGCTTTCAAAATTTTTATCTGTTCGATTGTCTTCAGAACATCTGAGTGACCGTTCAAACTCTGGGACATGTGTGGCGTAGTGGTCAGTG